GCTGCTACCTGACACTAGGGTTAGTCCCCTCACCGATATTCTTGCTGGTCACTGAACAGTGGGGCCCACTCTCAACCCCAATCTGCACCCAACGGTGACGAGACCGAGGGGAGCTGAAATACCGAAGTTACCCCTCTCCGAGCTAAAACCCTTTCTAAAGCCCTTTTGTCTCTCACTAGCTCACTCATCAACCTCTCTTTCCTCTCTCAAGTGGCGGTAACTTAGGGTTAGGGTTTTTGAGGTGAAGATGGTGGCGGCTGACAAAGGGAAGAAGGCCAAGGTCGCAGAGGGAGAGGAGAACGAGCAAATCGATGGAGAGCTCGTGATCTCCATCGAGAAGTTGCAGGAGATCCAAGACGAACTCGAGAAGGTATGCAAATTTTTCACATCTAATCGTAATTATTTCTGCAAATTGATTTTTAGCTATCCAAAAAGTTTCGAAATTGAGGAAAAAGGTGCCACCTTTGTACCTTGTGTCTGCTTTCGATGATGGTACTCCATAGGGTTTTCCCCTAGAAACCACCTAACATAGGTTAATTATACAGAAACCACCTTTGAGTTTCAGTTTATATACAAACTATTTTAAAGTATGTTTGTGTTGCAATCAACCACCTCCGAGTCAAATTTTCACAGACAAACCCAAAATAAGTTTAAAAATTCACGTTCAAGGTACATGGTAACAAGACCTAAACATTAGCATAATGGGTATCGAGCCTTGTATGTGAGTTTTAAAGGGTATTTTGGGTTTTTAGTAAGAAATTTGTCTGGGTGATCTTTGATTGCAGCACAAACCTACTTTGAAGGTGGTTTACATATAAATAGACATTCAGAGATGGTTTATGTATAAGTATCCTATTTTATAAAGGCGGTTTTTACCCTAGTTATTTTTTTATGAATCTTCCATTTTTATTTATCTAATATTTTGTTTAGATTCACAATGGAAGTAGTAGAGGTAATTATAGAGTGTGAATAAAAAAATGAATTAGTCTGGAGAAATTATTACTGGTATTGGACACAGTATTCTTCTGGCCTGTGTAATAAAAAGCACTGAAGCAGAGAGTAGTAATTATGAAAAGAAAAAAGATTCCGCCTTACTGCTTCATGTTTCCCCCTTTCATTCTGCTAATATAATTTATATTTGACAGGTTAATGAAGAAGCCAGTGACAAAGTTCTGGAGGTTGAGCAGAAGTATAATGAGATTCGTAGGCCTGTGTACAAGAGAAGGAATGAGATTATTCAATCTATTCCGGACTTTTGGTTGACTGCGGTAATCTAATTTTTATTTCTAGATAGGGTTGCAGTCATGTGGATTTTTTTTTGTGGCTATTATAAGTCATTCGTCTAATCTGTATATTCATCTTTGCAGTTCCTTAGTCATCCTGCACTTGGAGATCTCTTGACTGAGGAAGATCAAAAGGTTTGTCAAAATGCACCTGTAGTAATAATAGATTGCTACATAATATAGATACAGTTTCTAGAATTTTTTAATCTATCCAAATCTTTGTTCCTTTCAGCTTTATGTCAACCTTTTTTGCTATTTTTACTCATTGGTTTATGCTGAGGCCTAGTCTTCTTGGTATAGATTTTCAAGCACTTGATTTCCTTAGATGTGGAGGATTCAAAGGATGTGAAGTCAGGCTATACCATTACTTTTGTAAGTTCTCGTTGACAGTTTATTTTATTGTCTTTGTTAATCATTCTCTCCATTAGTGATCTAGAATTTGTACTAACTTGTTCCAATTTTCTAATGACCAGAACTTCTCTGCTAACCCTTATTTTGAAGAAACAAAACTTGAAAAGACATACATTTTTGATGATGAAGGAACACCCAACATAACTGGAACAAAAATTACATGGAAGGAGGACATTGTAAGCATGTCATATCCTAGATTATCTACAACAAATTGTTTCTTTGGTAACATATAGAACTAATAATACACATCCCTTTTCCAGAAGAGTATCCCCAATGGTGTGGAACATGAGAAGGGGTCCAAACGGCCTTTAACTGAAGAAAGGTTAGTCCATAGTTTTGCATGATGTTCTTTTCGGCAGTTTCAGTACCAATTTATGAAATTACTTCCATGTTGGCATAGTTCATTAACTTGCCAGACATGAAAGCTTGTATCAATTTGCAATGCATCATATAATCAACATTCTTTTTCATTTAGGTCCATTAGTTGACTTCCGAGCCCTGGCATGTTTATTTTTTTATTCCCACTGGTTTCATCACCTCATTATTGGTTTAGTTTTGAGTGGGATAGTTTATATCATATTTTTGTTGTGGACAAGATTTAATAAACAATAGTGTTTTATTTGGTATATTATTGAATGCTAGGATGTCATGCTTGGCATTTGGACGTACTAGTCTGATGACTCAGATCTATCCATCCTCATCAGGCATCAGCATAAGATAAGCTTTTAGCATCTAGTTTCACTGTGACTGCTTAAAACTTGGTGGGGAGGAGCTGCTAGTGGGTATTGCAAAACTTGGAGCCATAGTCTTCCTAAACATTGTTTTGTTAAAATTTCTTTTTCCACTAATCACTACATTTGAGATGAGGATACTCACTTCTGGATTTACTTGTTGGAACTTTATTAATCTGGAATGTCAGTTAACATGACCATAATAGAGACATCCAATACTTCTTAACTCATGCATCACCAAAATTTTTGGGCTATTGTTTTCCATTAAAGTATTTGCCTAATGCCATTTTAAAGTCTCTAATGGCATCATAAGTCGAGGATTATTATTAAGTTGAGATTATTGTTTTGGTTACCATATAGTCACATGTTACTAGATGTGACATCAATCTGTCAAAGCCGAGTAGTATCTCTAATTGGGAAATTGCTTTTGCATTAGTAGAAAGTCCAAATATGCAGTCATAATTACCATCAGGTGCTTGTTAACTGAAAAATAGTTATAACTTGAGATAAGCAACTCATGCTACTACTACTAGGTCCAAGTTAGGAGCATGGAGGAAGAAATTTTCACATGAAAGGATTCTCTCTGAGATGTTTATGTACTAGGTCCAAGTTAGGAGCATGGAGGAAGAAATTTTCACATGAAAGGATTCTCTCTGAGATGTTTATGTTCTGTTTAGGTTTATTTCAATCACAGGAAGAAATTTTCACATGAAAGGATTCTCTCTGAGATGTTTATGTTCTGTTTAGGTTTATTTCAATCACATCAGATCTATGTCTTAATTGCTCTTATCTCTATTAGGAGGTATCGATTAAGAATGTGGAGCGAGTCCTAGTCAAGGCTTCTGTCTGAGTTTGTTTCTGATTGAAATATGTTTTAACAGTCTGATTTAGGTTCATCATGAATTTTAATCTAATCTATGTCACTATTACTCTTATTTTGATAAGGCAACATCATGATGATAACTTTGTCTCATAGATTCTGAGACTAGCAGCGTGGTACAACATCTTCAGCCTTAGCAATGATTTATTTTTGGATTATGAGACTAGTTTTCTTGAATTTCTTCTGTAGTCAAAGGGATATGCCAAATGACTTTATTTATAAATAGTACTTTTTAAGGCTTGAGAATATATATAAAATAGTCAAAAAGTATAAATAGACATGCACATCCTTATGGTGTTGGTTTAAAGAATTTCGAAATTAATGATTTTCATGAGGTATAACTCAAAATTTGTCGGTTTTTTATTGTTTCGACCTTATAGAAGTTGACGATGCGTACTTCAAATTCGTGATTTTTCATGGGCTACAATCCATGATCTTTTTACATTTACTTTTTTATTTATCAAATGACAGTTTATTGCACCTTCTTCACAATTAGTGATTTTTATAGGCCATGACACATGTTTTCCCAACTTTTGTTATCCAATGGAATTAGTATGCATACTTAAAAATTAGCAAATTTCATAGGTTACAACCTATGTTACACGCATACGGGTGCGGATAAAGATGCGAGTGCGAATACAGAACACAACAAAAATGTAAAAGTTAGGATACGGGGACACGACTATGTACATACATATTAAAATTAATAATCTACATGTGACAGATATTGTTTTTCATTCACATGTTAGGAGAAATAAAATCTTTTTACTATTTTTATGTTTCTTTGAGTAGGTTATAAATTGAAAAACTGCTCATTTTTTGAACTAGATACTCAAACAACACCTTAAAATCATATTTATGAACTAGTTATGTGCTAAAACAAACCTGTCCTGAGTCCAATGAGTGAGGCGAAGTGTACGATATACATTCAAGAAATGTATCATAAGTATCTTGAACTAAAGCATGTGTTATATAATTGAGTATACGTCTAAAAATGTATGCATATAGTCAATACGTGTCCAAGGAGTGTCAGATACAAACACAGTTACGGATACAGACATGGGAGTTTAGATGAAGTATCCGAGTAACCTAGCCTACAACCCATAATTTTCATACATTTTCATTTGTTCGATTCAATGATAGTTATGTTTTCTTTTTTCAAAATTTGTGATTGTCGTAGGCAATGTAACCCCATGACTTTTGTCCATTGTCGTTCATTCAATGCAATGATCACTTATTATGCATACTTCAATATTCACAATTTACATGTGCTATAACCCACACATTTTTTGAATTCTTGTTTATTTTGATGGTGAATAAATATGCATGCTTTAAAATTTGTGATTTTCAAAGGTTATAACCCATAATTTGTCAATTTTCGGTCATTTGGACCCAAGGACAAAATAAGTATGCGTGTCTAAATGATTTTCATGGGCTGACCTAAGAATTTTATCCCTTTGGTCTATTTTGACGTAATGGCATTTATTTAGACATATTTTAAAATTCGCAATTTTCATAGGTTAACTCATGATTTTTGTTTATTTTAGTTCTTTTTGTCCGAATGTATATTAATCATGCTTTGTTCAAAATTAATCATTTTTGTGGGCTAACCTATGTTTTCTTTCAAATTTTGACCGTTTCAATCCAATAGCATAGAAATATACGTAATTCAGAATACGTGACTTTTATGAGCTATCATTCATAATTTTTTCCATTTTCTTTTTATCCCCGACCTCAACGAAAACTACTCACGTGTTCTTTAAAATTGGCGATTTCCTTGGGCTACAGCTTACAATTTTTGTGAGTTCTCATTTATTTTTACTCAATGGAAACTAAGTATGTGTATGACAAAATTCATGATTCTATGGGGTAACCCATAATTTTTATTCATTTTTGTTTATTTCGACCTAATGACAAATAGTTATGTCTACTTCAAAGTTCACAATTTTTATGCATTATAATCTATGACTATGGTAAATTTTCATTCTTTTTGACGCAATGATAAAATAAGTATGTGTGCTTCAAAATTAACGATTTTCATGGGCTAACCCATGAACTTTATCCATTTTTGTCTTTTTTGGCCAAATGACATTTAAGTAGGTATACTTTATAAAATTCACAATATTCATGGGCTATAACTTTTGATTTTTTTCTATTTTCGTTCTTTCAACTCAAGGTCTATTAATTATATGTACTTCAAAAAGAAAATTTTCATGGACAATATCCCGCAATTTTTGTCCCATAATTTTTGATCAATTTTAGATTGTCTCAACCTTATAACAAAATTTTATTGTTTGGATGCAATAGTATATAAGTATGCGTACTTTAAAATTTGTGATTTTTATGAGTTATCATTCACGATTTTCTTTCATTGTTTTTCGAACCAATGACTATTACACGTGTTCTTCAAAATTCACGATTTTCTTGGGCAATAACCCGAAATTTTGTTGGTTCTTGTTCGTTTCAACCTAATGATAAATAAGTATGTGTATTACAAAATTCATGACTGTTGCAAGCAATAACCCACGATTTTTATCTATTTCTATTCTTTTGACCCAAGGGCAAAATAGGTATATGTGCTTCAAAATTAATGATTTTCATGGGCTACCCTATGAACTTTATCCAAATTTTTCTTTTTCGGCCGAATGACATTTAAGTATGTGTACTTTAAGATTCACAATAATCATGGGCTATAAGTCATGTCTATTTTCGTTCATTTCGAACTGATTGCTATTAATTATACATACTTTGAAATAAAATTATTCATAGACAATAACTCATTATTTTTTTCAATTTTAGATAGTCTCGATCTTATGACAAGTAATTAGGCATACTTCAAAAGTCATGATTCTCATGGTCTATAATCAAAGATTTTGTCATTTTCGTGCTTTTTAACCTTATGACAATTAATTGTTTTTTATCGATTTTGGTCTTTTTCAACCCTATGGCATTTAATTAGGTGTACTTTAAAAATTCGCATTTTTCATGCGATATAACCATGATTTTTGTCTATTTTGTCGTTTTGTCCCAGTAGCTATTAATTATTTGTACTTCAAAAGTAATGATTTTCATGGGTTATGACTTGTGTTAAATTTCAATAGTTTCATCCTTATAGCAATTAATGACGCGTACTTCAAAAGTCGTGATTTTTATGGATTATAATCCCTATTTTTTGTCAACTATTCATTTCGACCCCAATGACAACTAATTTACATACTTAAAAATTAGCAATTTTCATAGGACCCACATATGTTGTCCATTTTCGTTTATTTTGACCCAATGACAGTCGAGTTTTCTTTCTTCAAGATTCGCGATTGTCATAAGTTATATAGCCTATGACTTTTGTCCATTATCATGCATTTCAATGTAATGGTCACTAGTTATGCGTACCTCAGTTGTCATAGTTTTCATGGGCTATAGCCCACATTTTTTGTGAATTCTCGTTTGTTTTGACTCTACGGCTGATAAGTATGCATACTTCAAACTTCGCTATTTTTGAAGGCTATATCCCTGTTTTTTGTCTATTTTCGCTGGTTTGGATGTAATGGCAAAATACATAAACATGCGATTCAAAAGTAACGATTTTCATGGGCAAACTCAACAATTTTATTCCCTCGTCTGTTTCAACGAAATAGCATTAGATTAGGCGTACTCAAAGTTTGCAATTTTCATGGCCCATAAATTTTATCTATTTTCATTTGTTTCAATATATTAGTTACGCATACTTAAAAAATAATGATTATTATGAACTATAACCCATGTTTTCTTTCAATTTTTTATCTTCTCGACCAATAACATATAATGTTGTGCACTTATGCATACTTCAAAATATGATTTTAATCCCTTTTCTTCTTTTCGCCTCAATGACAATACATTGCATGGTTTAACGCTTGACCCACATTTTGTCAATTTTTTTTATTTCAATGCAATGGCAAGTAATCCCGTGCGACTAAAATTTCACGATTTTCCCAGACTAACCCACGATTTTGACCATTTTCATTTGTTTTGACCAAATGGCAGTTACTTACGCTTACTTCAAAATTTGCAATTTTCATGGGCTATACCTCTCGTTTTTTGGCCATTTTCCTCTGTTTTGCCTCAATGACAATAATTAGGCATATTTTAAAATGTCTATTTTTCATGTGCTATAACTCACAATTTTTGTCCATTTTCATTTGTTTTAACCAAATGGCGATTGATTATGCATACTTGAAAATTTCTGTTATTCATGGCTTTCAGTTGAGTTTCTTTGCTAAGTTTTCATGCACTGCTGACAAGTGCAAAATGTAACTTATGAAAAAAATAATTTTATATTAACCAAGTGCTTGTCAAAAATCTCAATAAATTTTGCAGAGTTATATTGGAAACTGGAATCAAATTAGTTATATCATCTATCCTTCAATTATTCCGTTTCTCTTGTATTGTAGCATATGTATTCTTTATAGCCATTTCTTGCTAGTGATACATGATTCATTTGGTTTTGTGCTTAAACTAGAATATTAAATTCAAGATGCTTGGTTGTTTTACATGCATCTATGTTTTCATTTTTATGTTTCTTTTTGATGCAGTTTCTTCAGCTGGTTCGGAGAGATGCATGATAAAAGCTTTTTAGAAGGAGTTTTTGATGAGGTAAACTCAGAGTTACATTTTACAACGTGGGCAACTTCCTCTGATTTACTTGGTGAAACCTGATGTAGTAGATGAGAAATATAATTGTATCCTTTAGATTCGGATGAGTTACTATAGTGCGTACAATCTGTTGCGTTTATCTTCTTTATGTTTGATTTTCAACTATAATGTTAATTTTGGTGGTTACTGCTAATGCCTGTTTTTATGTGAGAAATTAATGCAGTTCAGCTGCATTCTACAAAATTACAAATTAACCAATATATCATATTCCACATAAATCAAACATTGTTTATGCTTCTAATCTGATATGGAAGAAAACCTGATTTTCTTTGGTAGTGTTATCTGCAATCTGTTGTCACAATTCTCTGTTACTTGATTTATTTCCTCTTATTTTCTTGAATGTATCGGTTTCTGAAGTTACCCCCAATTAATTATGTCAGTTATGTGGAGGAATGGCCAGATCTTAAGCTTTTTCGCTTCTCAATTTTTTGTTCATTAAGTGAATCTGAATGTGGAAATACAGGTAGGAGAGCTAATAAAAGAAGATCTATGGCCCAACCCTTTGAGGTATTTCAATAATGTGAGTATTCTTGCCCTCAGTTTTCTTTCTTTTTCTTTGACATGTTTACAATTGGCTGAGGGAAAAGGTTTCTTAAAGCGTAGAAGGTTTGGCCTATGTCCAATCTAGCAATGTAACCAATTTATAGTGATCACTCTTTTTCTACAAATATAACTTATATATGTGATTCACTGGTGTAGGAAGCTGATGAGGAGTTCGATGGAGACATTGATGAGGTAAATGATGAGAATCTTAATGTATGTAATTGTTTGCTTATTATCGGCTTCCTTGTTTTCTCTGGTTGAGAGATGTTTCTTATATTCCCATCTTCATATAGTGTAAAAGTGTGTATATAGGCTCTTTCCTATAATTCTTCTGTAGGAATCTCTTCCTCTATATTCCAGATTATGCATGATCTTTTTTTATCAGTTAAACACGTAAAATATGCTCAATTGGAACCATTTGCTTATTCCAGTTCGCATTTGACTTAGATAAATGGAATCTTTTTATCCAAATCAAGATGCCTCGTTCACCGATTTGTTCTCACACCATTAATAAATAATATAACGAACAATATCTTTTTGTTTTTTGGTGACTTACTTGTAGTCATTACCTACTAAAATTTTCCTATATAAATTGTATGTATGTTACTTCATTGCTTCTCTTAACCTGCTTAGGAGTTCAACCGATTCATGCGTATTTTTTAATGTCGAGTTGACATATGGCATTGACTCTAGTGAGTTTAACCGCACTTCCATGATATATCCAATTTTATCTGAAACTACTGTCTTGTATTTAAAAAAGTAGACAGATCCTGAATCCTGACTAGAGAAGCTAATATTTCCAAAGACTAAGATCTACATTGTCCGGAAATAGGTCCTGTGTTGATATCAAGTCTTTTTCTTTCTGTACACCAGCTTATTTTATTTTATGCTTGAGCTTATATTTGCTTGTGGTGGATTTGATGCGCTCTAGATTTTCTTCTTCTTGTAAATTCCTCCTGATAGTTTCAATGAATCGGTAATCAATTTTTGTTGGCAGAAGGATAGTATTCTTCTTGTAAATTCCTCCTGATAGTTTCAATGAATCGGTAATCAATTTTTGTTGGCAGAAGGATAGTGATGACGATGAGAACGATGATGAATAGTTTCAATGAATCGGTAATCAATTTTTGTTGGCAGAAGGATAGTGATGACGATGAGAACGATGATGATGAAGAATAATCGAGAAACATTTCATTCAAGGACTGTACTCTCCATAGCTAATCTACTCTGTTCAAATTCTGGCAAAGTATAATGTAAGTTAAAAGTTCCAAGGAGTTTCGGTGTTGGCTTCAGTTTTTGCCACATTTTCACTGGGAAATGAAAAGGGTCATTTCACGGAGAAACTTTATTTGGCCTTCTGGTCTTGTAGAGAATTGAGGATTGCCTTCTGTTTTGTTTTGTTTTCCCCCGCTTTTTTCCTTTTTCCTTTTTCGCAAGGCTCCGTATTCATTAAGCGTCAGCTTTCCTTATTTTGGACCATGTTCTGTAATCCCCACTTTAATTTATAGCATTTTAAATGAGAGTCGTTTGTGTTAATTTCATGCTCTTCTATCATCTTACTGCATCCTTCTCTGTGACAGCAGCAATTAATTTTTAGCTTGTGTAATTTCATGCTCTTCTATCATCTTACTGCATCCTTCTCTGTGACAGCAGCAATTAATTTTTAGCTTGTGGATTGTGAAACGTCAAGAGAATTTTACTGCATCCTTCTCTGTGACAGCAGCAATTAATTTTTAGCTTGTGGATTGTGAAACGTCAAGAGAATTGGGGGCTCAAACTGTGCTTGCTCCTTTCCACGTTTTGGGTTAAGCTTTACTTGCCCCTGGGTATAAATTAACTCCTAGATTTTTGCAACTTCAAAAGTCTTTTGAATGTTGTGTGCACGAAAGTATATGAATCTGCATTGTTTTTATGTATATTAAATTTCTTCCCGTTACACCCAGGCTTGTGGATTGATGAGGGTCCGAAGTCACCACCCTCCGTAAAAATGAGGAAAATCTTGCCGAGGCGTTAGGATCCCCGTGCTGGAGTCCGTGTTCGATCTTTAATACATACCAAGTAAACCTCTGTTTGTGGGTTTACAAACCTAATACAAAATAATTTTTTGTAGCTTAAAATTATTACTTTCCTAAGCTACAATTGATACGGGTATATCTTTTTCTCTGATTCGGGAACTTAGTGATTCTCATGAGAGCTTGAGGATAGATAATTCTTATGGTAACTTGAGAATAGAATCTTGGGCGGAGTCGTTGGTAGCGGCGAAAACGGTCAAAAGCAGGAAAACGACGAAAATCAGGAAGCTGGCGAAGCAGCTCTGGCCGGTCGACCAGCTCGTCGGTCGACCGATGAAGCAATGTCGGTCGACCGAAAGACCATCCCCAGTCGACTAAAAGCATGCATCTCCAGGGTCGAGAAAATGGCTTTATGGTCGGTCGACCGAGTCATGCATGTCGGTCTCGGTCGACCGATGGGGTTTTACTAGGCCAATTTTGTTTTGAGACGAATTCTAGTTGGGTTTGACTTGTGTATTTACCATTTTGCTACCCACGTTGTTTAACTTATAAATAGGGATTGTTTAGGGTTTCTAAAGGGGGAGGAGAGATTCTAATCAGGAGATTAGAGTTTAAAGAGGATAGAGAAGTTGTTCTTTATTCTAGAGAGATTGTGAGAGAGGGATTTTGTAATATTTATTTCTTCATAATTTAGAGAAGCTATTTTCCTTCGCCAAATTGAATTGTTCTTGTGTTTTGTTGTTTTCTTCTCAAAACTCACCTTTGATAATTCCGTGATCAAAGGTGCTCGCACGGCGACTCGTATCAAATTGGTATCAGAACGGTCAGATCCTGTGAAGGGGTATCCTGTGTGTGGTCCTTACTCGATCACAATACAAGAAACTAGATGAGATTCTTATTTCTTTGGAAGAAGTCCAAAAATCAAGGAAGAAGAAGATGATGTAAAGCGACAATTCATCGAGGCTTGATGCGATGGAAAATTAGATCGAGACAATCAGTTCGACTCTCATAGAGCTCGTCGATCTCATCCACAGAGGTGAAAAAAAGGTGAATCTTCGCCGGGGCCCAAGAAGAAGCCTATAGAATTCGATGGAGGTAGTGAGAATTCAGATTCCGACGAGGAGGTCGAGGCCGTCAAGACTGTTCCGCATCAAGGGGTAAATGGTTCTTACCAAAATCTGAAGATTGATTTCAGAGTTGAGATTCCTGTTTATGATGGGAGGGTCGACGTTAAGAGGCTTGATGATTGGATCGAGCGTATGGAGACCTATTTCACTCTTTATGGCTATTTGTCAAAGGAGAAGAATTTTTTTGCGACATTGAAGCTTTTCGGGCATGCAGTTCTACCCTGTGAGATTCCTTGAAGAGCGTTGGTACAAGTAGTGCGGCTTGCTCCAAAGATTCAATCAGACCGTTCAAGAATACACTACAGAGTTCCAGAAGCAGACGATGGTCCTCAACATTACGATGGAGGAGTACTCTATTTTCATGATGTATATGGCGGGGCTAAACGAATACATTTGGAAGGAGATGAAGCTATTCACGGTAAAGTCGATTGCGGAGGCAAGCGTGAAGGCTATTACCATTGAAGGCAAACAGAAGAAGAGCAACGAGACGAAGGGAGATGCCAAGCAAACTGGAGGCGATTCTAGTGGTTTCCAACTTAAGGAGGAAAAGAAGAAGGGTGATCTAGGAAAAACATAACTGATTTGTAGTCATTGCGAGAAGACAGAACATGTCGCTGATCGGTGCTAGGAGAAGTATCATCATCTCAAACCGAAGGGGTTGAAGAAGGAGGAGGAAAAAAGACATATATGATAGCACAAGGTCTGAAAAGAAGTCCCAGGGATGACGGAGCCCAACAACAGTCTCAACCTTATGGCAGGGAAACATGCCGCGAAGGAGGACGAAGACCCCAGAGAGCAGCTCTTTGTTTTTAAGTTGCAAGTAAAGACCAGTTTCAGTTTGGTAGATGCCATAGTTGATCCAGAGAGTGAGAAGAATTTGACATCCGAGGCATTGGTTCAGAAGCTAGGTCTAAAGACGGTCAAGCATCCAAAGCCCTATCCATAGGGGTGAATTCAGAAGGAGACGGGGCTGAGTGTAGTTAATCAATGCACTTTCAGATTTGTACTCCATGAGTCGTATATTGACGAGGTCACGTGTGACGTAGTTTCATTGGATGTTTGTTAGGTTATACTGGACAATCTGTATTTGTGGGATAGATACGCAATCTACGAAAGACGAGCTCAGAAGTACACATTCACCAAAGACTGTGAGAAGTTTATATTTCATTCGGTGTCTCTTCCGAATGAGACAAACTTGGTGACAATGATTCGTACGAAGAGGCTAATGAATGCAAGCAAAAAGTTTGTATTGCTGTTCATTAGGCCTTATGAGGAGCTACTGAAAGATGATTGCATTTTGGAGCGTTAGGTGACCACGACTAGATGGGGGACGAAGGAGTTGTTTCTAGTTGGATGTCAAGGTCAGGTTTCTAGCAAGGCCAAGTGGCTCAACAAAGAAGGAGGAGCTCGAGAGTTTCCTCAGCTGAAGTTCTAATTTGAATGAGTCTTCAAGTTCCTAAAGGGGGGAGCCATGATACATGTGTATCTTCTTCTCTATTTCAAGAACTTAGTGATCCTCATGAGAGCTTGAGGATAGATGATTCTCATGGTAGCTTAAGAACAGAAGTGTGAGCGGAGTCGTCGGTAGCGGTGAAAACGGTCAAAAGTAGGAAAACGACGAAAATCAGGAAGCTGGCGAAGCAGCTCTAGCCTGTCGACGGACGAGCTAGCACCGGTCGACCGATGAAGCAATGTCGGTCGTCCGAAAGACCATCCCCAGTCGACCAAAAGCATGCACCTGCAGGGTCGAGAAAACGGCTTTCTGGTTGGTCGACCGAACCAGGCATGTTGATCGACCGACGGGGTTTTCCTGGGCCGATTTGGATTGTGTTTTGAAACGAATTCTAGTTGGGTTTGACTTTGGTATTTATCACTTTACCACCCACGTTGTTTAACCTATAAATAGAGATTATTTAGGGTTTCTAAAGGGGGAGGAGAGATTCTAATCAGGAGATTAGAGTTTAAAGAGGTAGAGAAGTTGTTCTTTATTATAGAGAGATTGTGAGAGAGATTTTGTAATCTTTATTTATTCATAATCTAGAGAATGTATTTTCCTTCGCCAAATTGAATTGTTCTTGTATTTTGCTATTTTCTTCTCAAAACCCACCTTTGATAATTCCGCAATCAAAGGTGCTCGCATGGTGACTCGTATAAACAATTTATGATTTTTTTCCAAATTTATTTACTTCGATCAGATGACAAATAATTTTTTATAGTTTAAAATTCACAATTTTATGAATTCTAATTGACGATTTTTGTCCAATTTTATCCATTTTAACTTAAGAAATCATGTTATGGAGTTCAAAATTAACAATTTCATGACTAATCCATTATTTTTGTCAAATTTTATTCGTTTTGATCCAGTGACAATTAAATTTTTAGAGTTCAAAATTAACAACTTCATAAACTATAACTCCTGACTTTTGTCTAAGTTCATTTATTTCGACCTAATAGCAAATAATTTCTCAGTATTCAAAATTGACGATTTCATGAGCTATAACCTACAAATTTTTTCCATTTTTATTTGTTTCAATCAAATTGCAAATAACTTTTCATAGCTCAAAATTCATGATTTCATGAACTATAACACATGATTTTTGTCCAATTTCATTCATTTCGACCTAAAAGTAAACAATTGTTTAGAAGTCAAAATTATTGATTTTATGAGTTATAATCCATGATTTTTGTCCGGTGTTAGTTCCTTTTGATCCAATTGCAAATAAGTTTTCGGAGTTTAAAACTTATAATTTTATGAGTTATAACCAATGTTTTTTCTCCATTTTTAATTCAACCAAATGGGAAAGTAATTTTGTGGAGTTCAAAATTCACGAATTCATGAGCTATAACACATGATTTTTATCCATTTCAGTTCATTTCAACCAAATAGAATAATTTTTTGTGGTTCAAATTTCACAATTTGAAGAGCTACCATTGTTTTTGTCATTTTTTATTCATTTCAATCCAAAGGAAAATAACGTCACAGACTTCAAAATTCATGATTTCGTGAGATATACCACACGATTTTTATCCATTTGAGTTCGTTTCAACTTGAAAATAGCCAATAATTTTTTGTAGTTTAAAAGGCATGATTTTATGAAATATAACCTATAATTTTCATCCATTTTCATTCATTTAGATCAATTGAAAAATAATTTCACGAAGTTTAAAATTCACTATTTTACGACCCACGATTTTTGTCCATTTTTGTTCATTTCAATCGCATGAAAATAATTTTTTAGTGTTCAAAATTTACGATTATATAAGGTATAATATATAATTCTTTTGCAATTTTGTTAATTTCAACCTAATAGTAAATAATTTTTGGTTGTACAAAAAATAATAATTTTATGAGCTATGACCCATGATCTTTTTAATTTTTATTCATTTCGATCAATGTCAAAA